GTGAGGACAACCCACACTCAAGGCTGGCGAGGGCAACCGTCACCCGAGGCCTAGCGATGGCCTGTGGAGCGAAAAAGGAGAAAAATAAAAAGAAGACGAAAAAAAGAAAAAAATTGCAAAAATTATCGACGTCAGCGCCGACCGTATTACGTAGGACGGTTGACGCTGACTAGACCGTCACGTTAACATTTTTCTACCAAAATTAGCTTGAATGATTAAATTAGCAAATCGTTAAAAGGTTTGGAACTAAATTGGTAAATCATAAAAACGTTTAGGACTAAATTGGTCAAATTGAAACGTTTAGGATTGAATTAATACAAATGCAACATGTTTAGATATTTTTTGGTAATGTTTCCTCTGTTGGTCAGTCAAATTAGTATCATGTCCAACCCTAATCTTTGTGCTTATATAATTGGAGACCTTAAAAACAGAAGTAAACTCAAGAAAAGTGCAGCATCAAAAATATGTAGTACATTTTCATATTTGGCCGAATGACATATGTTAAGAAAATAAGTAATCGAACACAATAATAATCTGACACGCTTCGGGGAAAAATATCAAAAAAGCCATAAACCTATTGTGCAAATGTTAATTCTATCACAGATCTTTCAATTTGGCCAATTTAGTTTTAAACATTTTGACGATTTGTCAGTGTAGTCATTATGGTCAATTTTGACTAGAAATCGTTAACATGGACGTTGCCCATCTTACGTGACACGACCGATATTAACGTGGATAATTTTGACAATTTTTAATAATTTTTTTGAATTTATTTTTTTTCTCTCTTTCTCTCTTTTTTCCCATTTCTTTTCTTTCCTTTTTCTTTTTTTTTTTTATATTTCCATCTGCTGGTCCGTGGCCCCAACAGTAGCCGGCAAAGGTCACCAGCCATAAGTGAGGGTTGCCAGCCCCAAGCGAGGGCACCGCGGCCCCCGCTTGATCTGGGTGAGGCCATCTCGCTTAGCCCAAATTTGGTGAGGGCATCGCGACCCTCACCAAATCTAGGAGAGCGGCCACAAGCCCTCATTGAGCCCCTACTGTGGCCAACGTGCCGGCCCTCACTGGCTACAGGAAAAAAAAAAAGAGGAAAGAAAATAAAAAAGGAAAAAATATTCGGTAAAATTATTTAAAAGATTGTAAAAGTTGTCCACGTCATCACTGATTGTGTCACGTAGGACAGCCGATGTCCATGTTAGCAATTTTGGCAGTGAAGACTACATTGGCAAATCGTTAAAAGGTTTAGGATTAAATTGGTTAATTTGAAAGGTTTATGATTGAATTAGCATTTATACAATAAGTTTATGACTTTTTTTTACCCTTAACTGAAATCATGATAGTCTGCGATCATTCAAGTAGATCAACTTTGTAATCTCTGTGGTTTCTCTAACAGTCGTATTGGACTGCACTTTTTCACTGTTTGCCCTTGTGAATAACACCTGCATACATTTAGTTCCCCAACCACGTGACCGCACAATAGTTTCCTCTCACTCAGAACCTTCAAGCTTCTCTCATAGGTGCCCAAATGCATATGCCACAATTCAAATCTCAACCAAATGTATCCGACATGTCAACGGCGAATTATGTCATCGTATGCCCTTAGAACTCATATAAGTCACTATGCTTATTCCTTTGTTTATCATTAGGACGCCTCAAATAACCTTAAAGCTCTACCTTATGAAGTAATAGACACCTAGCTAAATCAAGGGCAGTCAAGGAAATTTGGTTCTTCTTTAACTCTGGAATATTGTGCATCACACTAGTTATGTTCTCTCGATACCGTCATGCATTTTTATTCTGACATAGCTAATACTAACAACATTGCACTCAAGATTGTGCCCTTACTGCATTGCATTTATAAGTAATAAAATAATTCTCATTTGGTGTAGCATGTAAAGAACAATTCGTACTTAATAACCATTTGTCTAATGACAAATCATCGATGGCAAACAAGACATAATGAACACTATCCAATTACTAATAGCTACAACTGAAATATTATTTGTAGATTCAACTCTAATCCTCTTACCCTTTTTTCATTTCTCAACGTCAAGCAATCTCGTTTGATATGTCTCATCTTGCCACAATGCCAAGAGACAACGCCACTCATCCTAGTTCTCCAAAATACTTACATCGTCTGGCTACGACTTTAGTAGCACGCATCATGGCAGGCTCCACTAGCATTATGTTGCGAAAAAGAGACACGTGATTCATGGTTTTTCGCTCCCCCTATAATTTTCTGAAAGCTATATTATGGCGAGAATATTATTCAAAGGCTAGCCATGCCCCATATACAAGATAATGTGAAATAAAACAGAATAAACATACATATAGACACACGCTTCCCCACTTATTGCAGCAAAACACTTGATTTCTTATACCTTTGTTAAGTTTAAATCATTTGAATCACTAAAGAAAGGCTGTATATGCTGACCCTTCCTTGCTTGGAAGAATTGTCAATGTCTGCTTTATTCTAAACTTGCAAGAACGAAACTCTGCGGATCATGTCAAGGTAATAGCTGGTGCCCACAGGCACAAACATTACCGACTCATATGCTTGTGGGTCATGCCGTCTTGTTCAGTTTGGCCTTGCTTTTCTTGAAATCACCAGCTTTCATTTCATGCTGATGATCAAGTAAGTGTGGCAAACAAAGTGTCTCTAAATGCTTGCATGTGGACTAGACTACCCCATCATGGGCACTATAACTAGAAGGCCAAACGACAACGCGTTTTAGATTGGAGAATCATTCGAAGATTGCTTTTTTGCTTGTATTAAACTCTTGCTTAAAGGTTGAAGTGATTGCAGAGCCAAATTGATAAGGATTTTTGCAGAAGGAGAAGGTCATATTTGACAAGTGATGAGCGATCAGCACATCCTCATCGGTCTGGGTCATGGTCCGATGACTTTTAACCTAAATAAAAGCGAGGTCTAGTACAACTTATCACATCATCAGCTCAATCAACTATTTCAAAGCTCTAGAGTACATCATTTCATATTGGTCTTAATCAGTTGTTTATACACTTTCCGAACACATGTTTTGCCACTGCTTTATGTCATTGAATTGGAATTTTTATGCCCTCAATCAAAATCATAGCTTCTCTTTTAAGCAGCTGTTAATATGAATTCCAATAATCTATGCAGGGTCCAACTTATGCAACACACATGAAATCTTTGGCCCCTCTTAATATCTTTGCCTTGCATTGTTCTGATGTGTCTAAATCTATAGACGGACAAGAGTACGCGTCCCTAAAATAAAAACAACTTTCGCTCAACGATCACGGAACAAACTTGTTAAGTTATGTGAGTTGGTCTATAATTGTCACAATTATTGCAGTTGTTGCATACTTTGCATGCCATCTCCAGTCTCAAACTTCTCAAGATGGCTTAGGTTTTTTTTCAAATTGAAAACCCCACAAAACCCCACAATGAACTTTCTTGCATCACCCCGATCAAAAAATAAAACTTTCTTGCATCACAGGAATTCATGGATGACAATGCACCTGGACCAGAAGTATGATGCCGACACTAATGTGCTTCTTTCAAATTAGTCATAGTCATACCAAAGGGGACCCTTCTTATTGGCACTGTACCTGTTTTTTGCTGGGACATATATGCCAAAAGATGCACAATTTCTTTGGGGGACCAAAAATGAATGCACAAAATTTACTTCGGAAAGAAAATATTCATAAGGATCTTATAGATCACTATTATTCTTCTGATCATACTAGATCAGCAATAGGAAGAAGAAATGTGCCTCAATAAGGATGATTTGTAGCTGAATAACACACAATCAGCATCATGGATAACCAGGCTTTTTCAAAGTTAAGTAGGGGCCAAACCCAGCAAACAAGTAGGCAACTTAGCAAGGACAGCGAAGAGAAAACAGCTGGAGAAAAAGAAAGAGAAGCCGCAATGAATTCAATAATTAGGGGGAGTTCGGGATGATGTAGACTGAAAAGGCATAAAGCAGAGAAGGATGATGTTGATGATCCAATTGTAGTGATCAGAGAGGCACATGGTGAAGCCACATCGCCACACCTGCACCTTCTCTTTTTGACAATTTCTTTTTTGTCCCCTGCAATTTTCGATATAAAAAGATCGATAAATTATTGGCCCCAATTTAAGACGGTCATATTTGACATTGAAATAAAAATCTATCACGTCATATTTAATAACGAGATAAGTATATTAAAAGTCATAAAACTTATCACGAAAGTGTAATTGAACGCTAAAACTTTCAGAAAGGGGAAAAGTACCAAAAAAGTTATAAACCTATTATATTGATACCAATTTAGTCCTAAACCTTTCAATTGGACTAATTTAATCCGAAACATTTTCATATTGGTACCAATTCAGTCCATCCGGCCAATTTAGGCTGAAAATCGCTAACGTGGACGCCGGCAGTCCTACATGGCACCGCCAGCGTTGATGTGGACAAAATTTATAATTTTTTAATAATTTTTTCAGATTTTTTAAATATTTTTCCCTTTTTTTTTTCTTTTCCCAGAACTGGTTGGCCGGCGAGGTCGCCGGTGGACCATCGTTGGCCACAAGCTGGTCTAGGCGAGGCCCACTGCGCCCTTGTCGGCCACTGGCGAGGGCGTCAGGCCCTCGCCTAGATCCAGGCAAGGGCCCCCGCACCCTCGCCTAGTCGCCGGCCAACCAATTCTGGGAAAGGAAAAAAAAAAGAAAAAAAAAACTTGTCAAATTGGTCCAATCAAGTTCTTCTGTTAATTGCCGATGTTAAAAATTTTAGGACTCAATTGCACTTTCGTAATAAATTTTATGACTTGCACTTTTTAAAAGTTTCGGTGCACTTAATCCTTTAATAAATCATTGTTTCCCTAGGTCAGTTTAGTAAATAGATTTTTATATATCTGACATTATTCGTACGATTTTTGAGTTTTTCTTTTATCAAGCTTCCCCACATGTGGTCCGCCTCCTCTTATCTCTTTATCACATACAAACCCCTCCTCCTTCCTTTTCATCACTTTAAACTTGGTCACATCATGCTTTTGAGTCCCCATTGTTTTTCCTCTCCTCTCTCTCTCTCTCTCTCTCTCTCTTTCAACCAACTTGAAAGAGTATTGAGCATCGAGTCCTCTCTCTTCCCCACTACAAAAAAGATTCCCAAAGGGCAATCCGAAGCCAAATGACCAGCCGACTCCCCCAACTTCTTTTACCCTTTCTCTATATTTATCTTCTGTGCTCCTTTGCATAATCAATCAGTCGCACCCTTCGGCTTCAAAGATCACATTCTTATACTCTGTGTTGCCTCGATATACCACATTAAATTGATCTCCGACACCATGCCGCCGGTTCACTCTAGTCCATACCTCCAAATGGACAACCCCCCCTCCATACTGTCCCTACTCCGGCACGCGACACGCACAGGCCCCGGCGAGAAGCGGCCCAAGTCATCATCCTCCTCATCGACCGGCGGCGTCTTCCGCCTCTTCAAGCTCCTCCCCATGCTGACCACGGGGTGCAAGATGGTCGCACTCCTAGGGCGGCCCCGGAAGCCGCTCCTCAAGGACGGCGCGACGACGGTGACAATCTTCGGGTACCGGAAGGGCCGGATAGTCCTGGCGATCCAGGAGGACCCTCACTGCATGCCCATCTTTGTCTTGGAGCTTCCCATGCTGACCAGCGCCTTCCACAAGGAGATGGCGAGCGAGATCGTGAGGATCGCGCTGGAGAGCGAGACGAGGACGCATAAGAAGAAGGTGATGGAGGAGTTCGTGTGGGCCGTGTACTGCAACGGGAGGAAGACGGGCTACTCCATCCGGAGGAAGCAGATGAGCGACGACGATGTGCACGTGATGCAGCTACTGAGAGGGGTGTCAATGGGCGCTGGCGTGCTCCCGTCGCCGCCGTGCGAGAAGGAGGGGCTGGAGGGAGAGCTGACATACCTGCGGGCGAGGTTCGAGAGGGTGGTCGGGTCGAAGGACTCGGAGGCCTTGTACATGATCAACCCGGACGGGGCACAAGGGCCGGAGCTCAGTATTTTCTTAGTCAGGGTTCGCTAGGCCAGTAATATCGTGCGTGGACAATACTTGTTACTCTTGTAACATACTAGCTGATGACTCATCGCTCTCATCTTCTTCTTCTTCTTCTTCCTTTTTCTTGGGTTGAACAATCTTGTAACGTACGGGTTATTCACTTGAAAGAAGGAATTTTGGATGAGTTGTGACGACTTTCAATCCAGATACAAGGAAAAATAACACACATGATCCTTGAACTTTCGGCAAATGTGTAATGTGGTCCTTAAACTTTTAATTTATTCAATTTAGTCCCTAAACTATATATAAATATTACTAAATTGAACATAAACCAAAAATTTAGGACCAAATTGAACAAAATTTCAAGAACGACATTACATATTATATCAAAGTTCATGAACCATTTGTATAATTATCTCCTTATACAACTTAGAGAATGCACGAGGGCAAGTGATTTAGCCTTGTATATTGCTCCAGGAGAGGTCCGGACACCAGGCCCAGCTCAATGTCTTGGGCTAAACAGTTTAATGTTACCACGTTGTCTCTAAGATGGCCACGAAATGGCAATTTCGCCTCTGACGAAACAAGATTTGAAGCCGATGTTGCATTGTCTGTTTTACGTGATGGGATTGCTACTAGTCTCTGTTTGGTTCATCACTACAATAGCAAACCGATGGAGATATAATGTTAAAAACGTTCTTGCTCTCTGATATATTAACTATTTAGTAACTATGTTACTCATTATGCCGTGACTATTGTATAATTATATAAAACATAACTAGTTATGTTATAGTAGAGTTCATATTGTATAGTGATCATATATTGGTTACAATATCAAGTATTTATTTACAATATAATTCCACTATTACAAATAAGTTATCTTTCACCGACTAGCTAGGCGAAATGCTTAGTTGTGCTAATTTAATTTATATATTATACAATATCTTAGATGGAATTCTGATACATAACATTCATTTATGTCGATTTTGTAGTACGCACAACAATGTAATATTGTAAATAATATAATGTAAAATTATATTTGTGGTACATAATGGTACTCATTTAATAAAATCATAGCAATTATTAACTTATGATTTTACCAATCGTATCACGTAATACGATGTTTTATTGATATAATATTACTCTTGTAGATAACTTTAAGGTTCATCAAACTTGAATTATCCAACAAAGGGTAAAGTAAAAGAAACAAAAGAAAAAAGGATGCTTTTGGGGATGACATTACAGCATGTAATATCTATTATATAGAGGGAACTGATTTTCATCTTTGATGGGGGAGAGAAGCATCCAAAAAATTGTTGTCCATGTAAACAAGTTAGGATCCAAATCTGAAAGGGTCCATCGCATACATTGATCTAGATGCATAATCTATTTGACCGCATGCAACTCATTGGCTGTGAGAGTATATCCGCGGATCATTTGGACTTAGCGTGCATCGACATGGGTGTCTTTCATGACGAGAGAGCCCTTATTAGGTAGGTAAACTCCAAGCTCATGAAATATGCTACTGATGTCACAGACCAGGTAGAACACGAGCCGGAGTCCGAGTAAGTGGATCAGATGTGGAATTGCTTGCATCTTGTGGGGTGAACAATCGAACCGGTATTATACACCTAATCCTCACAGTATTCCATTTTTCCAAGTGTCTAGTTAGGCAATAGCGTAAGGTTCTTTGCCGACCACAATGAGTAAAAAAGCCACTCCCTCCACGCAAATGCCATGCATTATGAGTTTGGGCCTAAATTCTAGGTCATGCTCGATCATGCAGCACGCCTAGCCCATATTTCTTCGCGACCATCGGTTTGAGTCGTCGATAGCCTGGGATTTAGTAACTTCCTAATCAATTTCCTGTAAGAGTTATTATTGTTCAGACTAATCGTTCTATGATCGTGATTACGGCTTGCGTCGGCGGTGCTACAGTGTTGGGTTCACTCAAAATGAACGGTAGCTATAAATCAAACCAGACGTTTCGATTACGGATACGAAACTCTAGACGCCTAGAGAAGGTCGCCAACGCCGGTCGTCCACTCCCGCCTTTCTCATTATGTTAAAAAAAAAGTTTCTATAGCGACAACAAACACGGAATGATCGAGCACGACAGACTTTTTTGGACATGGAACGTGACATTGTTCAAACAAAATAAAGAATGAAACGAGATAAAGAAAGCCCGCGGGCAAGTAACCAGAACAAATGTAGGTGAAAGAACTAATCATTCTAGATTCTTCATTAACTTGCTCTAGTTGACACTTGACAGTTAAAGAATTTTGAAGTCAACACATGTCGATAACTTTAAACTATCTTGGACATATTACATTAGCAAAGAATTTGTTTTAGCAAACTATCGGAACAGCACTAAAAAAATTACTAAAATTTCAAATGAAGCACAGTATAAGTGCTTTTAAACAATTTAAATGAAAACATCAAAAGTATTTCTTGTGCCTGGTGAAGAGAACACAAGATAATTGACTTAAAAATTTATCTTAGGTGCATGTAGAACATCACAAAAGATAACAAAGGTTAGATGTTTATGACATTTTACAATGTCTTGAGAGTTGATGTTGTGACTCTTATAAAACGTTGTAAGATATTTGAAAACTTAAATATTAAAAATTTCACAACGTTTGGGATCTTCACAAAGTTTTGCTCCAATTTACAGCGAAGTGTCATAAGCCTTGGTAAAATGCGTAAACCTTCATGGTTCGGTCTATAGCAGAAGAAACCTGAGTGAAGGTGGGAGGAAAATTACCAAAACAGTCATAAACCTATTGTAATTATACCAATTCAATTATAAACTTTTTTTTGTCAATTCATTCCTAAATATTTTTGTATTTGTGCCAATTCAGTCCATCCGGCCAATTTTGGCCGGCCAATGCTGACATGGTATTTTTTTAATATATTTTTTTCGAATTTTTTTATTTTTTTTCCTTTTCTTCTTCCCCTGGCCGATCCGGCGACTAGCCAGGGGCTAGGGCTGGCAACACTAGTCACCAACCACTAGTGAGGCCCGCCCTCGCCTGGCGAGGGTGAGGTCGGCTAAGCGGCCTCGCCATGGCCACTGCTTGCCTCACCGCCACCCAGATCTGTGGCAACGGCGAGGTCGAGTAGCCATGGCGAGGCCGCTTGACCTCGCCCAGATCTGGGGGAGGCCGAGCGACCTCGCCATGGCCGCTGCTCGCCTCACCGTCGCCCAGATCTGTGGCGATGGCGAGGTCGAGTAGCCATGGCGAGACCGCTCAGCGTCCCCCAAACCTAGGGGAGGCCAAGCGGCCTTGCCATGGCCGTTGCTCGACCTCGCCGTCGTGGGTGAGGTCAGCCATGGCGAGGCCGCTCGGCCTTGCCACAGATCTGGGCGAGGCCATACGACCTCGCCATAGCCGCTGCTAGCCCGCGACAGCAAGGTCGAGGCTCGTCCTCGCCAGTGCCGACAAGGGTGAGCCTCACCAGTGGCCGGCGACAAGTGTCGCGCAGCCCTGGCCCTTGGCCGGTCGCCGAACCGGCTAGGGGAAAAAGAAAAGGAAAATAAATTTAAAAAAAATCCGAAAACAATATATTAAAAAAATGCCACTTTAGCGTCAGTCGGAGGGCCGACGCCGGCCGGCATCCATGTCAGCGCCAGCCGGCCAAAATTGGGCGAATGAACTAAATTGGCACAAATTACAAAAAGGTTTAGGACTGAATTGACACAATTGCAATAGGTTTAGGACTATTTTGGTAATTTTTCCAAAGGTGGGCGGTATAGTGTAGCAACGCAGTTCCGATGGCAACCTTCACGGTTTGGTTTGGAAAATTATTTGCAATTTCTGTGCAGCCTTTGTGGTTCTGTCTAGCAAAAGAAACATGAGTGAAGGTGGGCAGTATAGTGTAGCAACGCAGTTCCGATAGCATCCTTCATGGCTTGGTTTGGAGAAGCATTTGCAATAAAGTGGAGATTCTAGTTGAGACATGTTAATATAGAAGGATATTTGAATTATGGAGGAGTGGACCTAACACTGAATTCATACGTGAAGGGAAGATTATTAAAATGCATTACCATAACTTATAGATTTAAGCTTTTGAGTAAAAGTGAGTCCAATTAAATATGTTGACGAGCTTGAACTCGGGCTCCGTCTTGTCGATCTCTACGATCGAAGGTATCACAATTTTGTTGCATGGTCCAGCAAGAAAAAGAACCCACAAGAAGAAGATTCGAAGTGCTAGTGCTCGTACTCCAATTTGGGATGCTTGTAAGGAATAAACCCTCGTAAGAATGCCCAAGATTTATTATTTGAAAAACCAAAAATTCTTGAAAGTGTTTTGTGCTTATCTACGGCTTAGATCGAACGAAACACCATCGGGTTAGCCATCAATGGTTAGAAGCTAACCTAATGGCAACCGCTAATACACGTAACTAAAGAGGATGAGATTCGACGATACATTCTTTTAACCGAATTTAACAGTTAATTAGCTCGAAGCACAACATATCATGAGTACCTTAGCCTCATCCTCGAGCCATCCCATTCGCGCCTCTCAATCTTCAGGTCGCCCCGACCCGAAATTAGTCGATGCTCGTTCCGGCCGACGTGTTCGAAACGGTTTAACCACATAGGTATGACTTTTTTTCCCCCCAAATTTTGTATCGTTCAGGGGTTTATAAGAAAGAGAACAAAGGAGAGGGGGGGCCGTGGTGCGGAAGACTGGCCACAAGACAACAAGAGGACCCAACAACCCCCATAACCAATTGTTGACCACTGCGCACGCACAAAGGACAACGGCTCACGCGGTTTTGGGGGGTGGCCGTACGTCCCGTGGGGCCCGGTCCGACCGGCAAGTGGGTTGACAGGGGACAGTGCCGGGCCCCAACTGAACCGAACGGCTCATGCAGACGGATTGTCTCCGTCCGCCTCCCTGGTTCCAATCAAAAGTCAAAAGTCAAAAGTCAAAGGGCCAAAGGTGCCTATCGACTAAACCACACGTGAAACTGCCTAGCATCTAGAGCCTATAGTATACGTTTACTGGGAAATCAAGGATGACATTATTAGCATGGTAAGACGAGTTTGGCTCGGATATGCTCTCCACTCGTCACTTCGTGGATTCGAAATTTCTGAATACTAACAGACAGTCCCTTTTAAAAGAATAAAGCAGATTTTTCGTTTATAAGATTCCAAATTTCTAAAGCGCGTTCATTGAGCCTTAAAGAGGGTCTTAATTGCAATTTCGGGATATCGTTATCCACGCAAAGATTTCCGGGGCTGCTATCCAATGAACTGACAATAATGTCGTTAGGCCGTGCATGATTAGTATTAAATCATGGTAACATAAATCCAATGAACCAACGTTAGTCGGTGGCGTCGGATTTGGTGCGGGGCGCAAAAAAAGTGACAGCTGGAGGGCGTCAACTACCCAACCGCTCGTGCAGCTCAAAGGGCTTTAACTTCACGATCACGAGTCCATCGCAAAACGCCAAAGCACATTAAATGGTGGCCACGTGGCCGGCTGAGATGTCATCATGACCGTCCTTCCCCTGTTCAAGATTGGGCGGAGGGGAGCGGGAGAGGGAGGAGCGACTTGGCTTTTCTAGTTGGGATTCTTTGGTGTGTAATTACTCTCTATTTCCATGGTTTGATAGATGATGATGATAATGACGATAGCTGGATTTTTGTTTGATCAAGGACTTTGATTGGCTAGGTGTGGATAATCCCCTACTTTTCTCTATCTCTCGAGATTTGATGTGTAACCCAATTCGTACAATTTATCCGATCTTGACCGACATGGCGCTTATGAGGCTGTCCACGTCGGCATTTTCATTTTATGTTCACGGAAGGATCGATTTGAATAGAACAAAAAACGTGTAATTTAGGGATCGCATCGGTAAAGAGAAATACATGCACGACATTGAACAAATTAAAAAAAAGGATACGGGGATAAGCGAGCTTTGTTATCTCTTGCCAAAACACGATTATAGATCTATTTTCATGTTTATCCTTGCTCAAAGTCTAGTTTTGATTCGCCACGTGCTTGTGTGATCGCATCGGAAGAGAGAAATACTTGTTTGTGATTTTCGATAAGAAACAACATCTTGATGATTTTGGTCTCACATAACATCGATGGACATACAAATCTGAAATGTCAAAATGAAGAGAATGAAAAGTAGTAAGACAAAATAATCGTTGAGGTATTATCCCGCGTTGTTCTAAATGCTCTTTATATTCACTTGGTCTCTCTCCATCTAACAGCTCAAGCTTTTGGATTGGACTTTCTAACATGATATCAGAACTAGTGTTATCTCTTTCGCGCTTATTTGTCCACGCAAAATGCTATATTAAACATATATCCGTTATATTTCCAAAGTCTTTAAAGCGTGTACGGTATGATGATCGAGTATATTTTATCAGGAATTACGAGAGAAGGCGATTAATGGTAAGAATTCCTCTAGACACCTAATCAGTGGAAGAAGATGCATAGAAACCTCCGGTAATTAAAAAATAATCAAGTATACCTTTACATTGTAATTTTTTTAACCACAAAAGGAATCGATTTTTTTTTTCTTCGTGTGTGTGTGTGTGTGTGTGTTGGTAATGTTGGGAAAAAACTGAAATCTGGCATCGAGGCACGTGAGATTCCTCCAGGCTGGTGTGTGGGGCCCAACCTACGTGGGAAGCCGCCGAAGTCATCTCCAAAGCTCAGATTTTATTACTATAATTTAGAGGGCGTCTCTCTCTCTCTCTCTCTCTCTTCCCCTTCCGCAGTCCGATTGGTGGCCGTTGATTCTGGTTCAGAGCGAGCGCTTAGAAAAGAGATCAAACGGATTTGGACTTCCCCAGCCAGCTGTGCGACCGGGTGCAAAAACGAGGGCTAGGAAAGGGAAAGCGGGGTGGAGAATTCAAAACGAGGCAGAAGTCCCCCGGGGGCCCCACCCCCGGTCCCCCCCTCCTCCTCCCACCGCCGTTGCCCAAGAGGCGGAAGAGGAGAACGTTTTCCGCCTGTGCTGAACAGCTGCTGCGGCCGCCGCCCCTCCCTCGCTCGCTCGCCTCCCCTGTCATGTTTTAAACGCTCCAGCGACCAACGTTGGTGCTGCTGTACCGTGCCCGGTACGAGAATGATTTCATTGCATTGGACCCCCCCACCCACCGCTCTCTCTCTCTCTCTCTCTCTCTCTCTCGAGACGGATATTTTTTGCTTTAATCGGAACAACATGTAAGTCCGTCCCCCCCCCCTACGGAAATTATTGTGTACCTTGTGGAGACGGTCCATTTTCTTAGCACCGCATAGCCACGAGGGGAGTCGTCGTTTTAAATTTTGTATTGCAGTCGCGACAAGATTGAGGTGGTCTCGACGGACGGAGATCCGTTGCTTACGATGATTACAAAAGTACCCCCTATGCTTGTCTTGTCGGACGGTTCTAGTAAATCTTCCAAAATCCGGGGGTTTTCCTTAGGACTGGCTAATTAGAACCGTGGCTCGATTGGAAACGAGGGACCTTTTGGTGGGCAAATGTGGTGGTGTGGATTTTGCCCCCAGTTTTTTTTTTCCTCACTTAGCTAGGGAACTCTATGGCTTTGCGAGGCACGTAACTGTCAGCATATAAACGCCACGTCACATACATTGTATCGTAACTCCTACCCTAAACATTGCAATAGACAATTTTTAAAGTTCGTGCTGAGATTTTGTCATATTCCTTTGCATAACGCGATCCGTAACGAAGTTCATGTCCCAAAAACCCAGCAAAATATCACCTCGTCCTTTCGTTCCAAATTCGAAGTAGGACCGATATCATTGCTCGGTCTCCGCAGATTGGAAACCAGAATCCTAAAACGACATTGCAATCTGGTTTAACATTAATTGTAATTTGAAGTCCCCCATCCATCCATCCATCTCATCATCTTCCCCCCCTTAACCCGATAACCCTACCGAACTCTGCAAAAAGCCACTTTCCTGGAAGTAACCTCTCTCTCTCTCTCTCTCTTCCAGTTATAAAAACCTCTCCTTTACATGTTCCAAGTTCATGAACCTCCCTCTCTCTCTCTCTCTCTCTCTCTCTCTCTAGCCCTGCGGTGCCTGTGTGTGTACATATAAGCACCATCTCGCCGCTCCAACTTGCGAAGAACACACCGCCCAACACTCTTCTTCTTCTTCTTCTTCTTCTTCTTCTTCTTCCTCCTCCTCTTGGGTGCACGAATGGAAGGTTTCAATGCGGGGTCGTCCTCCACCTGCTCCTCCTCCGACTCGGACTCTTCCCTGTCCAACAACGCCGCCGCCGCCGCCAGGCCGGACCGGATCAAGGGCCCGTGGAGCGCCGAGGAGGACCAGGTCCTGACCCGCCTCGTGGGCCGGTACGGCCCCCGGAACTGGTCCCTCATCAGCCGCCACATCCAGGGCCGCTCCGGCAAGTCCTGCCGCCTCCGCTGGTGCAACCAGCTCAGCCCCGCCGTCGAGCACCGGCCCTTCTCCCCCGCCGAGGACGAGGCCATCCTCGCCGCCCACGCCCGCTACGGGAACCGATGGGCCACCATCGCCCGCATGCTCCCCGGGAGGACCGACAACGCGGTCAAGAACCACTGGAACTCCACCCTCAAGCGGCGGCTCCGGGAACGGCAGCCGGAGCGCCACTCGGGCGGCGGCGGCGGCGCTGGCGGCGGCAGCTCCGGCCCCGCCGGCTGGTGCTGCGCGGGCAACGGCGACGACGAGGACCCTTTGACGGCGTTGACCCTGGGGCCGCCGGGGGGAGCCGGGGACGCGGCGGCCGCGGCGGCGGAGGAGGAGGGGCGGAGGAGGGAGGGGCTGCCGTTGCCGGAGGGCCAGTTCTGGGACGCCATGAGGGACGTGATTGCGAAGGAGGTGAAGGAGTACATGAGCTCAGCCATGGCCGAGAGCGAAGAGACGGGTGCGGCGTTCCATTGAAGCGGGGGGGTTTCCTTTCCGTTCATCTAACCGAGAAATGAGAATTAAAAAGTGTAAATACAATTCCGATAAATATGTGGTACGAAGGTGTACGACGTTTCCAAAATTTTTATTTACCGAAGCTGTAGTTTAACTTAATTAATACTGCTTTTCCTTGGTCGCGATGCGCAATTGAATTTTTATCCATCGGGCAACATTATGAGCTGACAAGAGATTGCATGAATCCATTTGCACGGGGCAATTATAAAAAAATTCGACATTATTTTCTTTGTTTGTCGCTATGCAAATGCTACTGTATAAGTGAATCTTCGAGAAAGAAAGAATGTGGTTGATTATTGTACTATAAAAACGGTTGGGTAAGTTTATCTGAGTGCATTCTCTTAATGGAAATTGGGTAGTTTTTTCCTTAGTTTTACCCGCTTTGTCTTTTTTCTTTGAAATTTGAAAAAAGGAATAATGACACAAATGATCCATGAATTTTGACTCAATGTGTGATATGGTCCATGAACTTTAAATTTATTCAATGTGGTCTCTGAACTTTAATCTAATGTGTAATATGGTCTATGTATTTTTAATCTGTTCAATGTAGTCCCTAGATTTTTGGTATATCTTCAATTTAGTCCATGAACTGAACCAAACATTCAAGGACCACGTTGAACAATTTAAAAGTTCAAAGACGACATTGCACATTAGACTAAAATTCAGAGACCCTATTGAACAAATTTAAAGTTTAGAGATCACATTACACATTAGGTCAAAGTTCGGGAATCATTTGTGTCATTTACCCTAGAAAAAATAAGTTCGTAAGTGTTAAATGGAACATACAAAAATGAAACAAGTAGCACCTTGGACTTATTTATATTAAAACCAACACGCGCCATGTGGATTCTGTAAATGAAATTTGGCCTTATTAAGATATATTTTTACGAGAAAATTAATTAAAATGGAGAACAAAAAGAATTGTTTTCCTTTTAAGGCTGCTAGCTAATGAAAGGGTAGATATAGAAAAATAAAAAGCGAGACAAACCTCCATTTTTCACTTAAATACATTGAAGATATGTTGGTGGATTAGAAACATATTGTCCTTTTATTTTCCTTCAAGTGAGAATTTGAGCTACAACGACCCACAAAACTCTCTCTCTCCACATACATGTTGGTCTTAAGGAAGATTACTTTGCATGCTCTCGATATACCCCCCACCAACTTCCGTGAACCGTCGGATAATGTGAGTTTCATGTGGAGTCCATTTAAAATTGAATTTACAGAAACGAAGATATCACAATAAAAAAGAAGAAGAAGTCCCAACTAGGGGGAAAAGTGTCAAAAAAATCCTAAATCTTTTGAATTTGTGCCGATTGAGTCCTAAACCTTTTTTGGTGCCACTTAAGTCATAAACCCTTTGTCTTTATGCTAATTGAGCCCTTCCGGCTAATTTTGGCCAGATTTTGATGATGTGGAAGCCGGTCGATCGTCGGCGCTGATGTGGAAGCTGACTGGCCGGCGGCAAGTCACTGACGCTGACGTGGACAACTTTTAATAATATTTTATTAAATTTTTACTTTTTTTAATTCTTTTCTTTTCTTTTTTTCTTTTTTTTAATCCTCACCCACCCTCCTTCCTCCAGCCGGTCACCGGTCCAGCGATCAGCCAGAGGCCAGACCTCGCTGGTCATTGGCGAGGTCGAGCCTCGCCTTTGCCAGAGGCCGCGAGGTCATGGCCTTTGACCTCTCTGTGTCACGCCCCGAACCCCGATGAGCATGCGACACCCCAAGCTCGGTCAAATTAGTGCGACGTCCCAGGAAACGTCGCCGACTCAAACCAACATATCAGAGTCAAACACGGCGGAAACGAAAACATAAACCCTGACAATATAATCATGGGGTAATAGGGAGAGACAAATCACCAAACCACCAAGCACTATATTACACCGCGATATATACAATATCCATTACAATCCATCACAACCAGCAACCTCTGCACCAACAACCGCTGATATCAAAAAGGGACTAGAGGCATCGGGTAGACTAATACTACCACCAAAAAGGGGCGCCTCTCAAAACTGTCCAACCCCCTACTCCGCTTTAACTAACCCCTACAAGACCTAAGGGGAGTCCAACTAGGGTCAGAACCTTTAGAGTCAAGATCCGTCTCCTCAGTATCTGCCCACTCCTCTGATGGCTCAGAATCTGTCTCTATCTCAATCGGTTCATCCTCAAACTCTGATTCTGCCGAGATTTCTATCGGGGGTTCCTCCTCGGGCTCCTCTTCTGGCTCCATCTCTTCGGGATCTTCCTCCGGGTCTTCTTCGGGGTCTTCTTCCAACTCCAGCTCCATGGACTCTTCTTCCGGGTCCGACTCTATCGGTGCTTGCTCTTGATGAGGCTCCTCGGGTATTGGTTCGAAGGCTACCTCCGTCTGGTCTGACTCCAAGGGTGCAAATTGGTGCCTAGACTCCGCAAGATCGGTGCCTGTATTGGTCAACTCGCCTTCGGGGGGAGGTATAGCCGACGGGTCCCAATCACCTACTCCATCGAATGGGACATCGAAACCTCGCACTGGCCCGAACTTGTCTAGCCCGTCTCGGAAGCACCATGCTACATAGGTATGGGGTTGCCACAACTGTTCACCCACATCTTCCCAAACTATACTGATATGCTTAATCCAAGTAAGGTTTTCATATATACGGTACTCCAAAATTGTATGATCCGTGTGCATCGGGATCCCAAAACGTTGTGGAGGAGGGTTATTCATTGTCCCGACCGGGGGTCTGAAATGGTTTGGTTTAACAACCATGAGAGACTTCTCAATAAGCGAAACCATAAACCCCATCTAGGCTAACACGTATCTCTGGGCATGTTCGAGGACACAAATCACACAACTATCAAGCCAGAACAATAGCAGGCACAAATGTCTCACCTTGATACGCACGAAATCTTACATGCGAATTCAAGCATTATTACCAGAAACCGACACCATGTCGCACTCAATAATGCCAATCAAACCATATCCATGGCAGCATTCGCATATCAAACACGACATCATACGATCCTCATTTCACTCAAGAATACGCATCCAATTCATTTCTGACCTACGTAAATACGCCTCAGGTCCAAAAACTAGCCATCGATCTCTGATCCGCGTAAACACGCCTCAGGCGCAACACCATCTCCCTTTTTATAACACAACCCGCGTAACACGTATCAAGTTGAACAACACTTCTATAGCCCGCGTCAAAATGCCTCAGGCTCAGTGTCTCTAGCCCGCGTAACACGCCTCATGCGCAACACCATCTCCTTTTTACGGCACAACCCGCGTAAAACGCATCAGGTTGGCGGTCTTCCAGTATAACTGGGCATCGTCCCGCGTAACACGCCTCAGGACGGGTTCAATTCCCCGCGTAAAATGCATTAGGGATTATGTTATCACACGTGCACACATTTTCCATTTATTATCTGAACCCCGTGTAAAAACACCTCAGGGTATTTAATGATCGTGCAACACGTCGGGCACCCAATCACATGCCAATTTCATACGACCAACTCGCACACGTCATTCGACATATACAGGCTACCCATAAGCCATGCTAACCCACAATTTTACCAATTCAATTTGCACGTGCACAAATTAACTCGAATTTTTGCATTTTAAGCCAAATTACACCACTCAAGGGCGTCGTACTCCTACCGACAACCCCAATCCAGCACGCGCCACATTTCGAACATAAACATGCACCAATTTAGCCACAATATGCACAGCAAGTCAACCACCACATAAAAATCACTATAACGGCACATTTAGGCCCGTTTTTCACGCAATAAATCACGATAATCATCCGTAATCATTCCGATTACCTAATCAATCAATTCTAACCTCAATTCCACCTCAAAAACTATCACAATTCCATCCAAACCACTCAGCCAAATCAGTCCAACCATTTCTCTACGAATAACCCCTAAAACTCGCTAAAACGGGCCCGAACTAACCCGAAATTATCCGTTATGCTAGGCGAGGATCAGGATATCACTTACTTATGATTCCAAGCAAGATTTGAGCACTACCAGGTGGCTGTACAGAGGAGAAACAGCAGCAGCAGCGGCGTCACACGATGAGGGGTACCGGCGGCCACGAGTGCCGGCGAACGGCGGCGATGGGCTGATGGCTTTCTCGGCTGTGCTGGGCTGAGATGGGGGCTGGTGAGGGTGTTTCACGGTGGAAAACGTGGGAGAGATACGGCGGTGGCGGTGGCGGTGGCGGTGGTGGTGCGACACGGCGAAAGGGCGAGTGACGGTTCAACGGAACAGCGACGAACGGACGGCGATTGGCTGGCCGGTTGGTCAATTCACGTGAGGGAGAGGAGGAGAGGGAGTTCTCGGCCAGAAGAGGGCGAGGGAGAGTTGAGCGTGAGAAATGAGGGGAGAGAGAGACAGGAAAAGAAAGAAAAAGAAAAGAAAAGCCTAGTCTAGCCTACCCCGGAAAATTACCATCCTACCCCTCTCTCTAATTTCTAATCGACTGCCACGATTCGATCTTATCTTAAAATCGACGGCCCAGATCGATTCCCATCAAAATATCCAAGGGCATAATTGGAATTTCACAAAAAGTGCAGGGGCAAAATCGTCCAAAAATTTTTATCTCTAAAGTTGGTATGAAATGATCAAAATGCCCTTCTCATATTACACTTGGTCTTCACAAAATCCCAGGAGCAAAACGGTCATTTTCCACTTCTTGTCAAAATTTCAGTTTTCTGACGAATCCGGACAAATCCGAGGCTGACCACGTTAATAACGACGTCATCCAATTACTCTGTCATGACTTTCAAAATTTTCGATATCAAAACTCGGTATCTAATTAATGACTAACTCCAAATAACGCAACTTGAGCGTATCTCAAACTAACGGGTGGCTTTCGAGAAAATTCGTATATTCGACCCATGGTCGATACTAAATCAAGTCACGTTTAAGTTCACTTGAGCCATGGCAACCTCAATTGTTATATAATTGCGAGGATCAATCACTAGTTCTAAAGAACGCGATCGTTTGGAATAGGTTTGAGATCGTTCGCAAATTTCGTATTCTGGCGAGGCGGAATCACCCGCGATCCAATTATACAGCATTCGCAAATCGATCCATAACCATCCTTAGATCGGTCTATAGCCC